ATATATATATATATATATATATATATATATATATATATATATATATATATATATATATATATATGTAATTTAACATACATAAATATATTATATATTTTTTTTTAATCTCTCAATCAAATTTAAGTAATTTAATTTCTTTTTCGCTTCGATTTCAGCAAATTCATATATTTTATGTATTTCAAGATACAAAAACAGAATCCGTCCCCGAGAATAACTCTCTTGTCCTCGTCCCGTCTCGTTTCAGATCGTTTGTGCAAAAGTTCGCTTAACAAAAACATCTCTTTCTGAACGAGATTATCTCGGACAATCGATCGTTCCACTGCACCGCGCCTCCTAAGTCACGTCAACGCCTAGGGCATAACCGCGACGGTAGAAAATACGATCTCGATAGATAGATTTAACATTGAACCCTGTATAAATTGGAGTAAGTTAGCCCGGAGAGACGGGAGAATATAAAAGATCCATGATTTTTCGAATCAATCAAAAGATAAGTCGTAAGAAACTCCGCGGGTGAAGCTTGAATTTTGTGGTATGTTGTACCATGCGTTTAGCCAGGAGCCTTATCATCGGTCTCAGCCCCATGACTCGACTATGTGGTACGATCCTTATTGAAATGCAGGAAAGAATGCCGCGTTGGGCTGCTGCTGCTGGTTCTGCGGTAAGGACTGCACCATCGGCGACATGTATCCCATCGCTGACGCTACGAGAAACAGTCATGAGTTACACAATACGTATATACAATAATTGAGCTAATTTTCAGTAAAAAAGCTGAAAAGAAATCTGGATAAAATTAGATTTGCTTAAAGATAAGTTGCTTCAATTTAATTACACCAGGTAAAAACAATAACTGGCCTCTAAAAAAATTAAAAAAAGACCTGAACATAATATATCTATTTAATTTAAAGCACAAGTTTTTTTCTCTTAATTTACTGTGTACAATATTATGTATAAAAAATAACTGCCTTCTATAAAACTGAAAAGAAACCTGGATACAATTATGTTTAATTTGAAGAATAAATTGTTTGAAGAATAAATTGTTTTAAAGAATTTATTGCATTACATCATGTATATATAACAAAATTGTCTTCTAAAAGCTGAAAAAGATATCTAAACATAATTGTGAGTTTATTTAATTTAAAGAATAGATTTTTTAATAAATTAAATTTTATTTTTTCATTACATCACCCCTTTTTGATATATACAGACTTTTATTGTCCTTTTCATTTCTTTAATTCTTTATTTTGATATTATCAATAGAGCCTTATTTCACTCCTTTTCTTAAAAAAAAAGACAATATCATTAGCGTTATTTTCTTTCTTTTATATATATATATATATATATATATATATATATATATGGAAAAAAAATTGCGAAGCATTTATACTTACGTGTTATTTTCATTTGATGCTGAGGACTATTGCTAGCTAATTGGTTCATCGTCGGTGCCGGGCCACTTTGTTTCGTTTTACTACCCATTATATTGTCAAGGTCGATATTTAGTCCCGAGCCGGCCCAAGTCGAGCCGACTTGCGTGGAGGACGTTGTATTGCTAGACGTTTGACTTTTGGTATTGGTAGGTCCGGATGGGAGAAGATTCGTAACGGGTGATAAACCGATCGTCCCTAAATGCGACACTAGATTTTAGTTTCTCACGCGCATTAGATGGCTTAATTAAATATATTAAAACTATTGTTGTTAATTAAAAGTGTAAGATCACTGCCTGAGAAAATGTGAAGCGCCAATAATTCCCTGCCGAATTGCTTCGAAGTCATCTTTATTGCAAACGAAACCTCGTTTTCAATGAGAAAAAATTTCCAATAATGAGCAATGCAACGACAAACAAGGTAATCTTTTAATGAAATGTAAATGTTAAACGTTTATGTGTGTATGTATGTATTATGGATTGATTAGATTTATAATTAGCTGGATTCAGGAGTCTTTTTCCATAGACATTTCATTTGTCAGCATAGTTCTATTTGGAAAATTCTTCACTTTTATTAACACTTGTTCAATGTTTATAGGAAGAGATTTTTAATCAGTCTAATAAAATTTATACAAGCAGATTTATTTTATTCAGCAAAAATTACAGCCTTTGTATTACTTAACATTTACAGAATATTACAGAACATATTACAGAATACACTACAATTATATATTGCAATAGATATACAAAGTGTCTGGCACAACACATATTCGTTCGTGCAGTAAAATTCACTAAAAATATACTTATCCATCAAACTGAATAAAAAGTCATTTACTATTTTGCAAACACAATGAGATAATTATCGAAATATTAATTAAAAAGGATTAGTTCACTCACTAATTTTCTATAATATCTCAATAACTGTCGTGATTAGATACAGTAAAGTTAGAATCTCATCAAACTATCAAAATTGAGAGTCATTATCAATATTGCTCCCGCAATAATTATATTAATTATATTATTACTGTGTAAGCCCATCAGATAATGATTCTCAATGCTAACAGTTTAGTAAGCTCCCAACTTCATTGTATCTAAACCGTTCTGCAATCAATTACATGTGTAGTGTGAGATACTTTGTATATATGTATTTCAATGTTTCTACGAAATAATAGATATTTATATTAAAAAAAAATATAAGATAAATATTTAATATATTGAAAGATTCCTTCTGTGTTCGTTGATAAAAATAGATCGCGTAGATCCAGCCATTAACATCCTCTCCAATTGTAACGTTGTTTTTGTTTTCCACGTGGATTTATACCATATATATTCAACAGAGAACGAATCCGATGATTGCGTCGATGCAGCGCATCACTGTGGCATTAATTTCCCTGCATTTGACATCGTGTTCGCCAAAGATGATGTTCTGCGTCAGCAGCAGCCACTCTTTGATCTCCATCAGCGTGTCCAATAGTTCTTCGACAACAACTTGGTCTCTCGGCAACGACACCAACACGGACGCGATACACTCTACGACGGCGAACCTCACGGTTGCTTCCTTGTGCGACCTCAGCGTCCACGTGAGTTCCAAGATCTCCTTGCCCATCTTCAACGCCAACGGGCAGTTCTCCGCCGCCCGCATGATCACGGACACTGTGTTCAGGTAACGCAGCAGCACAATGTTCTCTTGGTCCTGATAGATCTTCAAGTTTTGAAGCTTGACGGAGTCCTGTTGCCAGTTGAAGCCGTACAGAAGCGGATAGATGAAAGACGAGACGACGCTCGCGAAACGATTGACACTTTTCTTGGGCACCTTGGACCGATGCGCGAATCGTCTCGTGTGAGACTCAATCCTCTTCTCGATAATCTCCTGCCAATCAGCGACTCGACTCTCTGGCGTCTCGAGTAGATTCTCCATGTCCTCGTCGTAGCATAACTCCTGTATTCTATACGGCTTCGTCGTGTCGATGAAGACCGACACAGGGCTCGAAATGGACTTCCTCCTCTTCTCCACCAGCTTCGTGTTCTCGGCGTTGCTATCGCTGCTCACCTTGATGCCCGATAACCGTTTCGCGGACTCAGACAGCACGTCGAGGAACAGCAAGCGTTGGCTCAGCGAATATTTGCCGACGTCCTCGTAAAACTGTTTGCACAGGAACTCGGCGCACTCCTTCGGCCGCACGACGACGATTTCCACGCAACAGCGAAATACCACGACTTCGAAATCCTCCATATAGGATTGTTGCCTGAGCGTGACGAGCAGTTCCAACAGCTCGACCGCGAAGGACGCGTCGTCGTGCGGTAATTGCGTCCGTATGAGCTCCTCGCAGACCGACATGGATTCGGAGAAGACGTCGGGGTCGGTAGCGGTACGCTCGTCCGTCAGATTGTCGCGCAGGTCCCGCAAGTACATCGGCCGCACTTTGCTCACCGGTTTGTCTCGCTCTTCGTCCAAGTCATACGGCACTAAGTCGTCGTCGCTGTCCAATTCCAACTGCTCTTCGTCTTGCTGACGACTTTCCTCCGCGTCGCCTCGCACGTTTGTTGTCACTCCAATCGCGTCGTGTTTCTCCTTCTGCGCGAGATCATCCTTCGTTAAACTCGCTAAGCTACTTTCGAACTTTTTGCTTGAAACAGCCTGGAAACTCGGCAAGATATCGGCTACCAATTCGCGTATCTTCTTGTTAGCTGAGGAGTCGCTGTCGGCCAAATCGTCGCTGCGTTTATAGCAGATCACGATCGGCGCGGATAGATGCTTCAACGAGTCGAGTAATACCTGCACTCGCGTGGGCATATCATTGTAATCGAACACCAGTTGCGGCACGTCATCTTCAGACAGATGGTTGATGCAGATCTCGGCGGTGATCATGCCCATGGCTCTTATGTAGATATCCGTGCATTCCAGATGCACAGACACCCCGTTGAGCAGGAGCTGTCGACACCGCTCCATGACGTTTTGCTCCTTCAAATGACTCCTGCACGCCCTCACGGACAAGATAATCAGCCGCGAGATATACTCGTGCTGCTCCACAGGCGTGTGATTGAGGATACTTCTGTCGCTCCAGATGTCAATAAGCTTCATCATTAAGTCCGGTAAAACATTCGCATTCTCGCAGGACGACAGGTAAGAGATCAAGTTGAAGATCAGCTTAGTGTCCGTGTGATAATAGCGCATGAGGGGGATCTTTGTTGTTAGAACGTACTGCCAACGCGGCGCAGTCAACACGTCCCCGAGAACGGGATGTACGCCGTACATGGGCTCGCAGCGTTTCAAGAACATCGTGGCCATATGCTCGACTGCCGCGGTGTCCAATTCGCGAAGCACACTCCTGACCAGACGCTTCTCGTTTTTTATATCCTCGTAACACCATTCCGTGAGAATGTCGATAAAGCAAGATAGGTCATGGGTCGGCTTCGATGTAATGAGAATCTTGCTTATTATGGTCGAGAGTACGTTTACTTTCGGCTCGATGTTTAACTCGTGCCAGGCCTCGTTGACAAAATGCATCGCGCGACACACGTGGAAGCAGAGCAACCTGACGTAGACATGAGGCGTGTACAATTGCGGCGTGTCGCGCTGCATCTTGTTGGCCACACGGCTCGGCAAGGAGACCAGAATTTGCGTTGCGCGTTGCCACGCCTGATCCAGCTCTACCTCGAGCAGAACCTCCTGTCGGAATCGACACGTGTCCACTATCGCCGAGAATATCGCGTCGCTCTTCAGCAGATTTTGCAGTATCGTCGAGATCGCACGAATCTTCCTCTTGTCCTCGAATTCGCTCAGAGCGGCGGTCAAGAGCTTCAAGGATTCCGATAAGATCGGCATCGTGGCGCCGTCAACGACCATCAATTTTGTAATCAGAGGATCCAGCGAGCCGTCTTGCCGCAACGGCCAGTCGCGATCGAACAAGTTAATCGTCTTCTCTATAATTTGCTTGTACAACGTGACGTTCACTGCCACGCCGTCGTCGACACCCGTGTACTTTTGGGGAGTTATGGTTCCCGGTAAGAGCGTCACGTAGTCCGACAAGCACGATTGTATTCTCTCCAAATCGCTGCGACTTTTAATGCGGCATATGGCGCATAATTCTTCCAACAATGCGATGTGATTATTCTCGGTGGCCGCGACGTTCTCTTCGTCCTTATAAGCTGCAAGGAAAGGCTCATCTTGGGTGGATTACATTAGCTTCAAACCAAGAAGGTTTGGTGCGCGGTTCTCTTTGATTAGAGAAGCACATGCATCATCGATTTAAAAGAGGAGGATCGTACATTCCTTAGGGAACAGTTCTGAAGTAACTCGAGACCTTGGAAGAGAAAGGCTAATGCACATTTTTTAATCTTTAATTGCAAAAATTGCAGAACTTTTTGCAAGTATATAGAGAAAAATATAGAGAAAAATAGTGTGAAGATTATTAGAACTTTGATTTCTTTATTAATTTTCACTAATTGATTTTTTCAATAAATATCTAATTTCAGGAAATATCACAATTTATCAATAATTATCGATATTCCTTATAGGTTTAAAGTGATTACATTATGTATTGTAAAATTAAATATAAATAATTACTTGTTATTTCACAGAGAGAACATTTTATATCTCAAAAATAAATTTTCAAGTACTTTTTTCAGTGTATAAGTAACTCCTGCTATCTCCTGTTATCTCCTATATACTATAATTACATACTATATACTATAATTTACTTTTACATGCAAAATATATCTTACAACAGAGAATCTAATGTAATATATGTTATATCAGTCATTATTTATAAAATTTAGTTGTATAATATGTAATACAAACCTGTAATCATTTTAAACTTATAAGGAATACTCATAACAAATTGTAATTAGAAATTTATTGTAAAAAACAATTAGAGAAAATAAATAGAAAAATAAAAAAATTATTCTAATAATTTTCACATCTTTATAGAAAATAGAATTAGGATCGATTTTTTAATAATTTAAACTTAGAATTAAGTTTTGACTTAAAAATTTTTAAGTTTAAATTTTATTCTATTTTTTATTCACAATGTGTTTGATATGTTGGAATAAGAGTTTAAGCAAGTTTAATCTTTATTTTAGCAATGTTTCATGTGTTTGAACAAGTTTAAGTTAGAATTAAGTTTTGACTTTAAGATTTAAACTTAATCTCTGTTTTAACAATGTGTTTAATGTGTTGGAATGAGAGTTTAACCAAATTTAATCTATTTTAACAATGTATTTGATGTGTTTAAGCAAATTTAAATAATTTTATGTTTGAACAAATTCAAATAGTTTGACGTTTAAACAAGTTTAAGCAAGTTTAAATCGTTTAAGGCTGGTTTTTCAATGATAGTTTAAACTTAAATTTCAACTAAAACTCTGTTTAAACAAAATAAACGCATTGTTAGAATAGACTTGAATCCAAGTTTAAACTGCTATTGAAAAACTGACCCTTAATGTATTTAAACAAGTTTAAATTTGAACTTAAGTTTAAATTATTATTGAGTTTAAATTTTTACTAAAAAAACGATTTTTAGGATTCTAACAGTAAATAGAATCAAAATTTCAATTGCAGAAATATTATGAAAATTGCAGAATTTATAGAAATTTGTTTCAAGATTTGTAAATCTTTCAAACTCAATCGTATAAATTTAATTTAATATTATTGTTATTGTTGTTATTACACTAACAAATGTGATTAGCATAAAATTCACCTTCCAAGATGCCGAAATGGCAACGTTAAAATAGCTCGGAAACCATATTTATTTTAACGTAACAGTGTTGCTTCGTTGTGACAGGATGAGGCAACATCGATTTTCTTTCGACTACATCTTAATTAAGAAATGACAAGTGGACGTTGGACCACGTTGTATTGCGCAAGTCTTGTGTGTGTACGCGTAACACTTTAATTAACTCTTATGACTATAACTAACGAAATCCCGCCAACTCACTATAATAGTAGAAACAGATTCTTTGCAATCACACATATACACTCACCTGCATAATTAACAGCGTTGGAAGGTGCATTGCTCATTCCCATGAAGATGTTAGAATTGGTTGGGCTACTTATCCGTTCGTCAGTTAGCCTCATAGTTGAAATATTCAAACTATCCAGGTCCGACAAAAGATCCGTATTCGAGGACACTGAGGGGAAACGATACAAAATTAGATATGTTGTACTTACATTGTTGACTAATATGTTACCAATTGTTTAATACGCATACTAACTAGTATTCAAACTCGTTTTATATTAAATTATCATTATTTTGGCACTGCGTGTAAAATGAAATCGTATTTAAGCTGGTACACTGCGTTTTCTCGATACATATCAAGTTCATATATATCAGTTCAACACTACATCGTTTCCACGCATCACCGAAATTATGGTTTTGTTTATACCAATTTTTCAATAGGCGTGCCAAACAATCACTTTACTGAATTGTCTTTATTTGATGCGTGCAAACAGCGTGTAAACGCTAGTGTATTAAAGAGATTGTAAGGTAAAATGGGTTTGTTAAAAATTTATTGGAATTTGCACTATATAGAAGTTTAAATATTGTCTAACTGCTCGTGAAATTAGAAGAAAATTGACCATTCAAAGATTGAAATATTTGAAACTAAAGTTGACACTTTTTATACTCTTGAGGTTGGTATGTTTTTTTAATTTCTTGTAAACTCTCTTTCTAAAATTAGAGTTTTAATGAAAAATCACTATAATATTAAAAATTAATGTATCAACATAAACAAATTTCGAATTATTGATCGTTTTATTTGCAAAACACAACAATGCAAATTTCATAATTTATAGTAGGGAAGACTGGGGCTATTTAATTATCGGAGTAAGTTGACAAAATCGATTATTTCTACTGTTCTTTAATAGATTTTAGAATCAAGCAAGCAGGGATTTCAAAGTTATCTTTGACATGTTTAAAAATCTTGCTTGTTTAATTTTATAATTTATTAGAAAATATTAGAAATAATTAGTTCTGTCAACTTACCTCAGTAGCCAATGGTCTCCCCTAATGCACGAGATTATATATATATATATATATATATATATATATATATATATATATATATATATATATATATATATATATTTTTTTTTTTTCTTTTTTTTTAAATACTTTATATCTCTTTTCATTATCTGTGCATCTCTATTAAATCAATTAATTTACGAATAAACCATAAAAAATAATATTCTTTATATATTTATAATATACTGTGTACACATATATCCATCTTTAAACTTTTTGTTTGAAATTAACATGTATTACTTAGATAATGAAATAAATATATAAAAATATAACTTTGTTTAATAAGTAAATTTATGAGTGAAACTCTTGATTAATTCAAGATTCCCTTGATCTTTGAATGAAAATACAATACTGAGCTTTAAAACCTCTAAATTAGTATAATAATCTTCTTAGTGCAAATCCGTTTAACACGATGTCGTTTATATTGCCAAAATTAAGGTAATTTAGTTAAAAATCACTAGATAATAATCTTCCAGTAAATTACCTTAATTTTGACGATGTATATAAGTTTATACGCATATAAGTTTATACAAAAATAAAGATAATTCAAAATAAAATCGCTAGTTAATATGCGTATCAAACGACCCGTGTAAACAAGCATTAAGATAATTTAGTGCGAATCGCTAGTTGGTACATGTATTAAATACTCAGTGTAAACTCTAGCACACACATTGGAGATACATCCATCATATCTCTGAGTAGCTCTCATATTTCATGTAAAACATGTAATTATCAAAGGAATGTTATATGTAACTATTCTCAGGCACTTTCAAGGTAAATCTTTTAATCAAATATTTGCTCTTGCCTTTATCTCACAATATCGTCGCCTGAATTTATTAGTCGCTTTTTGGTCTTGTTTACAGCAATCGTAATTAACATTTAATATGCGCATCAACTAACAATTTTATACTAAATTATCTTTATTTCTGTGTGTAAATTTACACGCATTGCCGAAGACAATTTACTAGAAAGTTACTATTTGATGCGCGTATCAAATGATCAGTGTAAACAAGCACTTGCAACATGTTTACAGAAATTGTTTAATACACAAACATATGAATCATTTTCTACGAAATTATCTTCGTTTCAGCGGTGTGCTATCGTGACACTCACGATATGTTAAAAGCGTTACAATAATTTTGTAACAATCGCCATACCTGTATTGTTATTCGTTGTTTGATTATTGAGACTCTGCGGCGACAGAGAGTCGAACAGATCGTTCGACGTCTTGGAATTTTGCGGAGCCGCGCCGCTCCCGGTGAACGCCGTTTGCGTATTAGCATACATCGTGATATTTGCGTTATTTGACGTCGGGCTATTTACGCCCGGTATCGTCACGCCCATTAAGCTGATTTGAGATTGCGGCTGATTCGGAGGGCCTGATAAAGTGACGGCGTTGAAAGCAGACGTAAAGTCCGCGAATTCATCGTTACCGTCCTTCGATTTGGCATTCGCCGAGCTATTGTTAAACGCACTGGTAAAGTCGCCGAAGTCCAGATTCGCATTCTGCGGCTGAATATACGACTGAGTACTCGCCCTCGGATTGAAATCGTCGTCATCCAACTTGCCGCTGTTGTCGCTCTGCGACTCAAAGATCTCGTTCAATATGTCGTTTTTGGTCTTCTGCTGATTTACAGGCGACAAGTTGTTAGTTTGTTGCGTCGATGTGCTATTCTGCAAACAGTTTCCAGATTTTCAGGATAATGCATGTGTCGTTAGAGTATGTAACGTAGTCGAAGCGACTAAACTCACATTGGATTGTTCTTTTCCATAATTAGCCGCCGCTCCGAGATCCACCTTTTTAGTGGGTCTGCTTGTCCGGACTGGGGACGAAGTCGCGGAAGGTATAGATATTTGAGCGGATTTACCAATTTGATGTATATTATCCATCGTATCTCTATATTCCCTTCCACTTTTTTTCGGGCTAGTGTCATTGTCCGAATCCTCCCTCTCGCCATCGTCACTGTAACATAAAGATATCGAAGTTCAAATGGTAAATAGCAAGACGACGATTAACAGTTAAAATAAACGACCCAATAACGACATAGCGCCAAAATTATTTCATTTTTTACAAGAATTTTTTTTACGATATTTAGTGACTTTTATAAGTCATGCAGTGAGCTGCAGATTATAAAATCGACTAAAAACTGAATACATTGTTATAATGCATGAAATAAATATAAAAAAATCCCTAAATAATTTCAAAAATAAAAATTTCGGAATATATGAATAATACCTGGATAACCTAAAATGCTGATTGTTAAATTTGCAAAACCCATATCTGAGCATGATTATTATCCAATAAAACTTTACAATTATTTATTAACTATTTATGTTGTTGCCATTTCTATGACAATAATTATAATAATTTTTAAACATTTTAACATTTTTCATCTAATAATATATATACTTAATATAATATAATAATTAATAATACTTTTTCATATAACTCTTCTATAATTTTTAATTTTATCATAAACTTAAACAGCTGTCAAATCTGACAGCTATCAGGCTGTAATAATGCATGGTTAATATAATTTGTAAGCTCTCATAGATCTTAATTTTCTCACTCTAGTTGTACACTAGCAGAGTCTGTTTATATATATATATATATATTGTTAATATAGTTTAGTTATAACTCGTATTTATATAATACAAAGAAAGAATAAATTAACCCTTTAGCTACTATACGCCACTAAAGTGACTTCCCTGTAAGTCATTCTATGGGACGAAGCGCCACTAAAGTGGCTTTCCGTCAAATCATTTCTTAGTAATTTCCAAGTCATTATCTCACTTGTTTTTGTAGTTTTAAAAGTTGTGTATATTTTCGTTTATATGCACACCGCGGCAGAGAAGTCCGTACTGGCGATACAGCGCCACGGCCAGCTTCGCCGTAGCTAGAGGGTTAAAGAGCTAATATTGTAGTAGAAATATAAATTGAGAAATATTTTAAAATAGCGTTAACTTTCCATATTTTTTTTTAATACAAGAATATTTCAAACAACTGATATTTCTACAAAATGAACGAATAAACTGTATGTGCTCTGATGTACCTGTTATTTGTATCCTCGAATCCTTTTCCACGACTGTCCCTATCCCAATCATTGTATGTTTCCACATTGGATTTGTTCCATTTGGGGTTATCCATCCACCTGTCACCCCCTCCGAATCTCATTCCCATTGCTTCACTCGACAAGCCGACGTACTTGTCCTTATTTTTCTTCGCCTTCTTCCTCTCCTCTCGAAGTTTGTCGTCATCTTGAATGAAATCAATCAATTCTCTGACTTTGTGCCTGATGTTTATACCTTGATCCTTCCCGAATTCGTCGATAAAGGTGTAATTCTCCAAAGATCTGAGATCGTAGATGTGCTCGCGCGACGAAGTGACTACCCGTTCTGAACCGTTACGTACTAAGTAGTTAAGAAGGAGTAGTGACTGTAAAAGAATGTAACTATTAAAACCATCACTGGAACGATTAATTTCAACGATAGTGTAATTTGTACAAACCTTGTACGTTCGTCGCCAATTTCGTTTGTTCTCCTGCAACATCCTCTTCCAGAGCATGGACATTACCTCTGGAAATTGCTCGTATGTGAACGTGGCCTGAGCCAATTCTTGCATCATTGCCCCTGTATAAGTATTTCTTATAAAATATTTACTTTTCAATAATCTTATTTTAATATTCAAAATACCTAAGGGAATCGATATATATATATATATATATATATATATATATATATATATATATATATATATATATATA